CATTGTCGCTTTCGTTTTCATTGGAGTTCAATGTCCCGACCACGAAGCGCATAAATTTTGCATTTTCGCTGCCCCTTTTGGCCCCGCCGGGTGACGGGCCCAATAATATTGCCATAAATTTGCCTATACCCAGCTAAGAGACAGCTCCGGCTGAGTAATTGGCTAAACAGGCAGCCGGAGATTGCGAATTTCGAGCTACCTTTGCAGTTCGGGTAGCTACACACACACACACACACACCGTTGAGCCCCGAAAAGTATCTTTGATCTGCGTGAACCCGAATGTGTAACGGCATTAATTGTGTTGCCAGTTGAGTTATATGTGTTCATAACAAACCAGACAGTCTGACAATTAGTCAGACAGACAGATATAGTCTGTCAGTTAGTTAGTAACACGTGCAGATTGTGCAAAGCTCTTGGAAAACTTCATTAAAATGCCAGCTCGTTTCATTATGTTACACTTGCATAGGGTATCATTAATATGTCATAAAATATGCAAATTGTTTTTGCTTATATCGGTTGCAATTTGTTATAGAAATGGTCTGCGGAAATTAAAGTTTTGCTATGGAAGATTTATTATGCGGCAAGCAATTTGGCATATTAAATCGAAAGTGGTTCACAGATCGGTTCACTATTTGGTTCAAGGCTGCAAACCGGTTTAAATCCGAAAATCAAAAATATTTCTACATATATGTAAAACTTTTGGAATAGTTTCTGTTATCGAAGCATTTGAAACATACAATAATATGATGTATAAAACTATTTGTCCTGACCGATTGACTGAATGATTGACGAACTGATTGATTGGTGATCAACGCACAGCCCAAACCATAAGAGCTAGGATGATGAAATTTTCACGTTAGTTACTTTATGTTATGTGGATACATGCTATGACGAGGTTTTGAGAAATTCCACCTGCAATAGTGGAAAACTCGAGAAAATTGTTTATATATATATGTGAAAAATGTTTAATCATGTTAACATGTGCATTTTACTATATGGTGTTTTTGATAGACATGGGAAATAAATATCGGCCGAATTATTAAGAATATAGCTTGAATTTATTTCATTGAATACCTTACTTTATTTCTGGCGGTTGATAGACATGGGAAATATCGGTCAAAATATTAAGCTAGATATGTGTATAACTCATTTAATACTTCTTAGCCTTTAGCTCTTTGCTGCTGCTATCAGCCTAGACTATATATAATATATACTTAATGCAAGAGTATTTCATCTTCGGCTCTACTTTATTTTTTTTGGATTTTTTGCTTGACAAAATTGTTGTTTTATGTGTTGCAATCGGCTGCGGCGTAGCATTTCAATTAGTTAGCGGCCGTCAATTTGGCAATTGGATATTGGCAACTGTTGACTCATAATTTTCGAGCGATCGGATCAGTTGCTGCCCCCAACTGACGCATATATTTTGGGTCCATTGCCAAACGTGCAGCCTCCGAGGCGCAATGCGTTGGACTTGCTCTAATAATTTTGAGCGCTGTTGTGCGCTGCACTTTTCGGGCTTGTATCTTTTTTTGTGCCCCTAAGTATCTGTATCTGCAGGCGTTGAGTACAAGTATCTGCTGCGCCCGTCCCACACCCAAGTCGAGTCACATTTGGTGTTGAAGCCAACAAAGCGTGGCATACAACTAGACAAAAACAGCGAGGCGTTGAGTTTGCCAGCCAAATGCAATTAAAAACTTAGCTCGCATTTGAGTTTTGTGTATTTTGTATCTGTATCTCTATATGTCTCTGTATTTGTATCTGTATCTGTCTCTGTCTCTGTCTCTGTATTTGTATTTATATTGTTTGCTGCATTACAACATGACAGCATGCTGGAGAGGGCCTCAGTTAACTACTTATTGTGCATTAACCGTTCAAGTCTATCATTATGTGCAAACACGCAAATATATAAATGCAAATTTATTCTAGCAAGGCCTCAGGTATTCAAGATTTATTAGGCACCTGAAGAAAGAATGCAGCAAGTGACATCTGTCGGGATTTAATTAAATTTAAAAAATAATAAAAATTCGTTTTTAAATATAACATTATTAAATGAGGTGAAGTTTCGATATGTCTAAAGCATTATTTCATTCTGAAAATGAAGTTTAATAAATGCTAAGCTTCAAGTCAGAACCAAAGGGGTATACTTTATGAAAAGTAATTAATTGCTGACTAAGTTTTGATTGTGAAAATCTTCCTTTTTCTTAGCAGCAGCAGTTAATATATAAATGGTTTCCACTAAAAGTATAACGAACATTTTCCTTAATCCAGCTCCTACATAACAATTCAGAATAGAAGTAGTAATAGAGTAGTAAAAGATAATGTATGATAATGTGATGTTTGATATTTGACATTATATTTCAGTATATGCCAAATAAGGCTCTCTTGACAGAAATCCTCAGCACAGACGCTCTGTGGTCAATAGCTAGAGAACCTTTATTCATAAAAAGAAAATACAAGCCGCTTTGAATATAACTTGATTTATTTTATTTGGTAATTGCCAAATCTATGAAAAACTTTACACTTAGCTGTTGTGCTCCTTACCCTTCGACAGCAAATACAATTGCATAATAGATCAGATATGTATACAATTGGTTGAGAGTATCTAATTGTCAGTACATCGTGCGCAATATTTCAGGCTTATTATTTTGTAATAATTCAACACCTTTTCAACATAATTTGCATATTTCTCTTTGCAGTTTCTCAAAAATCCCATTAAGAAACAAAACGAAACTCATTTGGACACTTGAATTTGCATTGTTGTTGCCGCTGTTTATGGTGAGTTTTTTTGTTTGTTATTTACTTAATTTATTTTTATGGGCGCAACCCTGTTGCTAGTTATTTGGTGTGGGCGTGTCGGCGACAATTGGGCACACACCCAGGCAATCAAGGCAGTCGATGAGGCAATGTCAATGCCAACAGAATTGATCCCAATCCGCACAAATTGAAAGCTGTTGTTGCGGCGTAATTGAACAGGGCCTTAAGACTGGAACGGATTGTAAGCCGCTTAGTAATTATTTTTTTATTGGAGCATGCCCTGGCTGCCTAACGTATTGTTGGTTTTAGCCAAAAGGCAACGCACATCCGGCTGGTTGGCTGCCCAACCGCAGCGCCATTAAGCTGACCAACTGCAATTAATTCAAGGCTAAAAGCCACAAGATCGTCGAGGGACGCCCACCACATGTTATTGTTAACTTTCTTTCAGATTACAAGATGTGTGCTACCCGAATGAAAGGGAAATTCAATTGCAGCTAGCCAAAAGTTACGACAGATGCGCGACTGAGGGCATTGTCACATTTCACTTTCATTGAGAGAGATACAGATACAAAGATACACAGATACAGCTACAGCCAGACAATAAGTGCATATAGACGGGCATTTCAAGTGCAGGCCAATGTCTCTGGCAGACCTGGAGTCAGTCGGGTGTGACAACGGGTTTGGCTAGCAGTTACCCCGCGTTTCCCCTCCCAGCCGATCCGCCAATACCCTGCTATTCAAAGTGACCGCAAGTGTGTCTAATTTCTATGATTTGTTTGCTATCTCTCTCTCTCTCTCTCTCTCTCTCTCTCTCTCTATCTCTCTCTCTCTCTGTCGCTCTTTGCTTGAGTTGAACTTTCTTCTTTCACTGTGCCACCTGTAGACCTCCACGAATGGATCTATCTGGCTCCTGCTCTGGGTTTGAGTTCCGTTTTTGTGGCTGTTACGATATTTCGCATTTTTTGTTGCTGTTATTTTTCAGCTTTTGCTTTCGTTTAACCCATTTAATGCGGGTCTGGTCAGGTCTTGTCTGGTCTGGTCTGGTCTGGTCCGGTGCGGCATCCGTTATAAGCATGTGCATTTTTCATTTCAGCAACGGTAACAATAACCGTACACACACACACGCACACACACAGAGAAGACATGTGCGCCTTTAATTCAGTGGAAAAGTGAAAACGAAAGTGATCAGAGCTGCAGTTATCCAGTTAGTTGATCACTTGCTTACATGCTGAACCATCAACCAACACTGGTCAGTTGACTTTCGTTTCGGAATGTGTGTGTGCGTGTGTGTGTGTGTGTGTGTGTGTGTGTGTACGCCTTGATAATGATGATGCAATTAAAGGCAGCCCAGCCAAGACAAATTATCATATTGCCAATATGCAAAGTCAGCAATAAGGAAATCATTTGACAGCTTCAGTGCGTTCAGTGATCACTGATCACTGATCAGTGCTCGTGGATCATCATTGCAAATTGCAGACACTGTTTAAACTTAACGCAATTTCTCGCAATGACCAAATGGTAGCAAGTGCAGCAATTATGGCAATTATTTGGCGGCAATTATGGTCCGTTAGGCTGCACTCGGCACAGAGCTGACGACTTGCTTTGGCCAAGTCGAAGACCGGCTGCTTGCTGCCAGTAGCCGGCAATTATCTGTCGTTGTGGCTTGAGCAACCTTTCACCTGTCCCGACCTGGCAGCGTTCTTCGCATTCCCTCAAATGCAAATCAATAGAATGGTTGCCCACTGACCGACCTTGCTCTGCAGTCTGCACGTGTCGTGACTGAGTTCTGAAAAAGCTGGCTGCAGTTTGTGATTATAATTGCATGGGGCGTATTATGAAAGAGAGCTGGTCTTTGATGGCAAGTTAAACAAGATATCTCAAGGCTATCAAATATTTCTATGGGGATTTAAGCTGCTTCTCAGCTACCAATATAGCCGCAATTATATCCAACTCAGGATCCTTTAGATTTTCAAAGGATGCATCAGGCTTTTACGGATAAATGCCTATATCATATTATATCCCTTTAAATCTTAAAGCTATTGTACTCCTCATCAATAACATCGAAGTATACACGTATAAAATAGAATCCAAAGGAATTCCCCAATAGCTTTGCTTTCCCTCCAAACATTCTCTCATTCAAGATTTAACAAGGTCTTTTTGGCATGACGTCATCTCTAATTTGAAGACTCTTATCACAGTCTAACTCACTCACACTTCACCCTTTTCGCGTTTCAGGCACTTTGGCTATGAAGCGACGCATGCAACTCATCGCCGTTTGGCTGGGCCTTTTGGCCGCAGCCACCTATGCACAGACGCAGCAGGAGTCCTCTGCCAAATGGTCGCGACAGCTGGAGTCTGTTGCCACCGGGGATTCGGACGCGTTGGACTGGGTGCCGCTGGCACAGCCACTGGATGACAGCGGCAAGGATCGCTCTGGCAATGGACGCGTGCTCACCTACTCGCAGTCCTTTCCGCCCAGTGCGCGTTTCGGCGATCTAGGCAAGCCAACTGGTGGGCAGTTTGATTTTCCGTATCAGTTCCAGCGTTTTTCCAATGGCGGACCACAGGCGCTGCCCTTGCGTCACCAGGGCCCACCGCCGCTAAAGAGCAGCGCCGGGCAGGAGCCCACATCGCAGTCGTTCTTCAAGTTCGAGATGCCCTTCCACAACGAGGCCAATCAGCCGAATGCGCCGCCCACTCTGCAGACGGGCTATCAGATACAGCATTCCTTTGGAGGCGGCGGCGGTCTGCCCGCACCCTCCTCGCTGTTCAGTCCACCCGCGCTCTTTGGCCAGCAGCAGCAGCAGCAGTTCCCCGACTTCCAAGCACTGCCACAAAAACCACTCGCCCAGGCGCTGAGCAAGCCCCTGCATCAGCAGAACTATATACAGGATAATTTCTCCATTAAATCCCATGGCAAGCCCTTGCCCACACAGGCTTCTCTGCAGAGCGTCACACCGCAAGTGTTTCCCGTGGATCCCGAGCCGGAATCGGTATTTGGTTTAAACAAACAGGCTGCTCCTTCGTCTGCCTCCTCCGCTAACAATCAACAGCAGGAGGTGCAGCTGCTCTATGTGCCCTATGACACGCTCTACAATCAGCAGCGTCAGCCTCAGGGCTCTTCGAGCCTCGGTTCGAGCAGCTTTGAGGTGAACAAGTTCAATGTAAATGCTGGACTGCCCGCCGTCAATCCCTATCAGATCAATCAGTTCTACACCCAAGATCCGAGCGTAGGCAGCGACTTCTTTGGTTCCGGCACCACCGCACGACCCAGCAGCACCACCTCACAGCCGCAGCACATCTTCCAGAGCTTTGCACAGCCACAAGCACAGGCGCAGGCGCAGTCTCAGCCTCAATTCACCACGGCTAAGCCCAAGCCGAAGGCCCATCAGCCCCCGCTGGCCATGTTCCTGTTGCGTCCCAACGCACGGCCCACACAGTCGGATGTGGTTGCCGCCCTGCGCAATGCCCGCGCCATTTCGGTCATCGATGCGCCCACTAAGCAGACGCCGGATATTTTTGTTGGACCTGCCGGCATGCCCATACCCGACGGCTATGTCAAGTTTGATCTGCCCTATCTGTCGCAGCTGGCGCACTCCCGCGACCTCCAGGATGTCTCCTTCTTCGTGGCTCCGCTCAGCTACCGCACGCCCAATGGATTCAATAAAATCCTGCTGCCCGAGCCACATGTGGGCTCAATTGTGATCAATCGCGCCAAGGACAGCGCTGCCATACAGGAGCTCGTCCAGCCGCAGCACGTGCGTACGCAGCGTCCTTATACCACCACCAGCAGCACGCGCAATCCCTTTGAGACTTCCACCCAGCCGCAGAGAGCCGCCGCCAGTCCGGCACCCACGCGCGGCAACAAGTTCAGCTACTACTACGTGCAGGATGGCATACAGGAGGTCAGCTCGCCCAAGCAGCCCGCCAAGCAGGAGCGGCACAAGAAGAAGCGACCACAGCATGCGCCCGTGGAGCAGCCCGTTTACCGTGCGCCAGCGAAGACGCCAAATCCCTTCGACACACTGAATCAAATCGGAGGCGAGGACTTCTTCAACACGCTCAGCAGCAAGCCCAGCACCTCAACAACTAGCTCCACTTCCACCAGCACGTCAACCACATCGACTACTTCAACTACAGCCCCGCCACAGACGTTGTTCACCTACGGCTCCAGGCCGCAGGTCGAGTTCCCCAGCTCGAATGGTCAACTTTATCCTCAATTCGACACGGCACCACAGCTGCAGCCGGTGCAGGAGCAGCTGCCACGCCTCACAACACGTCCGCCCACTGCAACGACAGCGGAGGAGGAGCTGCGCATGAAGCAGTACTTCCGCCAGCAGGACGCCTTCCGTCAGCGCCCGCAAACCACCAATCCACCCTTCGAGCAGGTGCAGTACACGCCCACTACCCTGGACTATGACGTACCACAGCCCACAACGACGCAGAAGACCAAACAACGGGTGAACATATACACGCCAGGTGCAGTGCCCGTGACAACCTCCGATGTGGGCTACAATGTGGATCCACAGGGCCAGCCACCGCTCAACCACCGTCCCAGCTACAATCAGAACGAGGTCATCGACAGCGGCAATGTGGAGTACGAACCGAATCCCTACCACGTGCCATCCGAACTGCCAGCGCTGACGCCCGATATTCCTGGTCTGGTCAACAATCTGCAGGAGAAGGACAAGCTGGCTGCCACCACAACACCGCTTAGCGAGCCGGAGCCGGAGACGCGTCCCACACGTCGACCGTTGCTGCGCACGCGTAAGCCTGCCATCTCCAAGGTAGTGACCACCTCGTCGGTGTCCTACTCCGAGTCCGAGACCAATGCCAAGCTGCCTACGCATCGCATCAGACGCCCCTATGGCAGCAGAGGCACCTCAGCAGCCGCCACAGGCAGCACAGACAATGGCGAAGAGGTGAACAGCACAACACGTCGTCCGGCCAGTTCACGTAATCCTCTGCTGCGCAATCCCAATCGCATACGCTACCAACCCACGACAGAGGAGCGTCAAACGCTGAAGACCAAGAAGAAGCACTACAAGGGCTCCAAGAATGGCAAGCCAAGTGAGGATCAGGATTTGGAATATCAGCGCGATGTGCTGAAGCAAAACTATCCAGTGTTCAAGGCGCCTTCTCGCCGTCCCACCAGTCCCACGGCCATACCCAGCTCCTATGATGTGGGCAACACCGAGGGACCGGCCTCCGAGTCGCAGCAGGTGTACACGGTCACGCCCAGCAATAGCATTGATCAAGGAGATCAGGGCGTCTATGTGCCCAGCCTGCTGGAGCCCATGCAGATAGCCCAGCACTACAACGAGTTCTCCAAGGATAACTATGGACCCGGCTATTTCCCTAATCAGGAGGATCTGAATCCCACGGAGGCCATAGTGCGCAACGAAGTGAGCCCCATCTTTACCACACTGGCCACGACCACACCCTCCACCACCAGCACAACCACCACCACCACCACCACTGAGGCGCCTGTGACGACAACCACGCGCCGCTCTCCCTTCATACGCCGCAATTATCCAAGGGTGCGCACCACCACAACCACTGAGCCGTCTGTGACCACCACCACGCCCTCGGAGGAGCGCCCATCTGTAAGTTCTTGAAATCTCCTCGAAAAGCATTAAACTTAAACATAACTTCGTCTGACAGATTCGCTCTCGCCTGCCGCCACGTCGCGTAGTCAAGGTGCGTCAACGCCAGCGTCGTCCAGCACATCCAGCCTCCTCTACCGCTGCCCCGGAGGAGGAAGTGGAGCAAGTTACCCAGAGGCAGAATCTGCGCAAGCTCAGCCGTTACAATCAGGAACAGTCTGAGAGGGAGGTGAGTACACAGTTGTTTTTAGGAAAACTTAGGCAATTATTAACCGTCGAACCACAGCAGGCTCCTCAGGCGCCACCTCGTCGTCGTTACAAGCAGCCCTTCCAGCTGGAGGGCCAGGAGTCCCAGTGGTCACCAGCTTCGGAAACAGGCAACAGCAATACCAACAGCAACAGCTTCAAGCCTCTCAATCCCAAATATGGCTCCAAGAACGAAGCACACAATTTCGAGAATGAGCCGGAGATTGTGACGGCGGGACCCACAGATCAACCGGAAACCTACGAGTTCAACGTAGCTGCCAATCTCGGTGGATCTGGAGCTGCACAGCGTACGACGCCCGCGCTAAAGGCGCCGAACCTAAAGTGAGTTCCCGAGCTAAGCCAGAAATTTAAAATACTGAAACCAATTTCCTTATTTGTAGACCTGAGAAATCCTTTGCGGAACTCCTAGAGGAGGTCATGGGCAAGGCACCCGAGGAGCTGGCCACCGAGACACCCACAAGCAGCACCATTGGACGCCTCAATAGGCGTGGCAAGTGGAAAAAGTCGCGCGTCTCAGGCGGCTCAGATAATGGGGAGAATTTCGAAACAGCCGAATCCCAGAACCTGGGACCACAGCTCTACAATTCGTTGTATGCCGGCAGTGAGAAGAAAGAGGAGCCGGAGCTAAAGACTACAACACCAATGACACCAGCTACCGAGGCTCCAACGACCACCACCTCTGAAGTGGTAACCACTACAGCGGCAGCCATCACAACGCCGGAGGAGTACGAGGTGACCACCGCCAAGAGTTCCGATGCAACAACAATAGCCACAACGCTGGCCATGAGCGAGGAGAGCGCCACGCGCCGCATGGACACGGCTGCGGACGTGGATGACCTGGAGACGCAGCCGAGCATCTTCTCCGAGGTGCGGCAACAGCTGCACGATCTCTTCGCCATCGATGAGAGCGAGGATCAAGCAGTGACCGCTGCGCTGGCAGCCGTTGGCAAACGTCGCCAGGCATACACGAGCATCAAGCGCACCAAGCCAGCCACGCCCGCCGAGAGCAGCACGCTAGCGGCCACAGAGGCGCCGGCCGAGGTGCTGGACACCACCACAGTGGCGACGCCTGCCAACGGCAAGGAGGATAACTTTCACAAGGACCTGATGGAGCACGTGGTCTATGCGACGTCCACCTCAACCAAAGTTACCTCCGAGACAGAGATCTGCTATCGCGGCCGTTGCATACGCTCCGAGGATCTGCCCGCCAACCACAAGCTGCACTGAGCGCCGCCACATCAGGGCACTCCCCATGTAAATACATAAGGACAAGCGATACGAGAGTGGACGGAGGCGCCTTCTACAAAAGGCAGTCCGGAGCACCGATCCGGAAAGTAGATTCTCCCCCCGCAACGCATAAACGCGCGCCGTATCCGCTTGTAATTAGCTTTAAACTACGAATATGTTTTAGGGATTAAGCGCATAGAGAGTTTTATATATTTGCATATATATATATTTATATATGCTTATCGTATTCTATCTATATATTCGAATTGTTCGAAAAACGTAGTAAATATATTAGTTAAAATAGTTAGTTGATTAAAATACGCGTACTTAATACATAATACCAGTTAGGCAGCATAAGTTTTGTACAATATAATAATGAGAACTAACAAATAAAGAATCGAAATCGTTATAAAACCCCCCAGCTGGTATATACAATATATATATATTACCCAACTTTCTGTAAAAATATAATCGAGAAGGGACAACAGTCAGCAGGCGCAATATAATCTTCCACCAAAACCAAAACTTCCAACATTATAATAATTGACTGCACGAGTTATTTAGGGCTCATATGTGCCTATAGAAACTCTGGAAACTGGACACGCTTATTATTAAATTTGAGCAAAGGTTCTCTAGAGGTTATAGTAAACTAAACCTATGACGGATATGATAATTATGGGCAACGGAATTATATAATAGAACTTACGTGTCTGACACAAGAAACCGTAGAACTGGGGATTCGGGTTATTAAGAAGTACAAAATACACCGCGCTATGTTCAGTGGAAGTTCGAAACCAGACCTCGGGCAGATAATTAGTTATAAAAGGGGAAAATTAATGAAATATAAGAACTTATGTATCCATAAAAACTGAACGGCTTACACAAATGTTCTATATATATGTTCTATATATTTCTTGGTTGTAAACAATTCTAAAAAAGATAGTTTTTAAGGAAGGAACACAAAACTGAGATATAATAACAGTACGTTTTTTCTTTAAAAATGAGGTAGCAATATCAACTGAAAACGTGAAAGAAGGGCGGTATTCGGCACGCCGAAGATTTAATACCCTTGCAGACCAAACCTTTTCAATATGATCACAATGCTTTTTCCAGCACAGGGAAAATAGTTAATGCCGAGAGATATTTAAAAACACTAAAAGTTTTTCATACAAGAGCCTACTTTTCGACCGATCGTTCCTATGGCAGCTATATTATACACTGGTCCGATTTAGCCGGTTCCGACTTCTGTAAGTTTCATACCGATAGCTTTAAAACTGATAGACTAGTTCGCATAGAAACAGACAGAAGGACATGGCTATATCGACTCGGCTGTTGATACTGATCAAGAATATACATACTTTATAGGATCGGAGATTACCCCTTCTATGCGTTACACACTTCGATACAAAATTATCATGCCCTCTGCAAGGGTATAAAAACAGATACCATAATATTTTTTAAAGATAATATAAGTTACTTCAGGAAGAACATACATACATATCTACGATAAGAATTGGTAACATAACAAATTTCCGCTATAAGCACACAAAAAGCGTTTTATATTTATTAAATATAGTAGTGTATATAATATGACATGTATAACTAGACGTAGTACTATTTCTATATTGTATTAGCATAAAATAGCGACAATCAATTCCATCTAAATACCCTATAATTTAGGTACATCAGTTTCAAGCTCAGACTCACCCTGAAAAGAATAAATTCGAATTGTTTAGGAATCAATAAGAGGCGACCGCTCTGCTTCATCCTGTCCGTGGGTGGGCGATGGGCGTGCCTGCCGTGTGCTGGGGCTATCCCAAGGCTGCACACTAACACGTCCAAACACAATAAACACCAGGTTGCCCACGAAGTAGACAACAGCGGTGAAGTAGAAGACAATGCGCCATTGCGTGGGATCCGTCTAAAAGGAAACAAAGAAATAGTTAGATAAGTCATCTACAATCTGTGGCCAACTCACCTCATCCTTAACAATGAGTCCCACAATGAGCGGCGCCAAAATACTCATCACATTTGCGGCACAGTTGGTGATGCCCATCAGAGTGCCAGCGAAATTGGGCGACAAATCGATGTGGTTCACATGGAAGCCCAAATAGCTGGCCGCATTGGTAGCAACGGCCAAGGTGAGCAAACCAATCGCCAGCTTGGCATTCGCATCGCCCTGTGTGATGAAGCCCAGACCCAGCAGCGCCAGCATGGGCAGCCACAGTCCAAGCGAATTGAAGAATTTGCGCGAGAAGTTAAGCGACATGCTACTCCCATTCCGCTTCAGCGTATCCGACAGCCAGATGAAGCCGCAGGTCAGTATAATCATGGCGAAGTAGGGCAGCGCCGACAGCGGCCCATTGTGCTTGATGTCCATGTTCAGCACATTCTTCATGAACGTCGGTATCTGGGTGAGCAGCGTCCAGAAGCCCCAGTTGTTGGCGCAATGCGCCAGCAGCAGAGACAGGAACGGTGGCGATGTAAAGATGCGCAGCCAAGGCGTGCGCAGATTCTGATGTGGCGCAAACTCTTCGCGACCCGCATCCGAGGCGCGACGCAGCTGGCCAGAGGTCTCAATGTAGCGCCTCTCATTGGGCGTAATCGTCAGATGCTGGGCGGGCGTGCTAGCGCAGAAGTAGAACCAGATTAAGGCCCACAGAATGCCCGCACAGCCGGAAATATAGAATATGCTGGGCCAGCCCACGAGGATGCAAGGTATCCGCTCACAGAGAGCATAACCACAGTACCAAACTGTGAGCCCGAGTAGCAGTAGCCCACGAGACGCCCTCGCTCCTCAGCGGGCGCCCACTTCGAGAGGAATGTATGCGTGGAGGGAAAGATGACGCCCTGGCAGAGTCCCTGGACAGCGCGCAGCACAACGACCATTTTCCAGCCGCCGGTCAGCGCACAGAATGGCGTCAACAGCGCCAAACAGGAGCAGATAAGCACACCAAAGAAGAGCATATACTTTGCACCGAATATTGCGGACAAATAGCCGCCCGGCACTTGGGTGACCACATAGCCCCAGAAGAAGCTGCTCAGCAAATACGATTTGATGCTCTCGTCCCACGCGAACTCCGGAAAATCCGGATTGGTATGATTACTATCCGTCATAGCCACAATCGCCACAGACAGATTCACGCGCATGGCATAGGCCACTGCCAGGCCGAAGAATACCAAAATGCATTGCAGATGACGCACACCGAAACGGGGACCTGGCAAAAAAAAACAAAACAAAACAAAAGTTCGTTCAAATGAATCAGTGCAAATCCGGAACCACAGCGAACAAAGGTGCGCTGCGCTCACCTGTATTTCCAATCGTGTCGTAGCCTGTGCGGCTGCAGCATTCAAAGCAGCCGAGTACCATGTTTTAAAGCCGTTACTTTGATGTGATCGCAATGGCGTCGCTAGCGTGTCTAAACATTTTGCGCAGTGCTCACTCGACGTTGCTCTAAAAAAGATTAATCTTTGACGCCAACGATTCTGCTGCTGCTGCTGCCTACGTTGCGTTTTGTTTTCGTTCTGTTTTGTTGTGGTCAGCAAACACAGCTCAGCTGTTGCTGCAGCTGTGTGTATGTGCGCCTATCGGCACTAACAACTATCGGGCATCAAACACAGCTGCAGCGAGAGTCCAGCTGTGTTTGCTAACCGATAGTTGTGGCCAATGATTGGCGCCATTTTCAAAAAGTACTCGAAATAAGAAGACAAACGTTTTGTTTTACTTTGATTTGTTCAAGTTCAATGTCTGGCCATTATATTTGTTTGTCTTCTATGCATGTCTTCTTTTCTGCCTTTTTTAGTTCATTTCTTTTACGTACATCACAAGTTGGTTGTTTGTTTATTACTAATTTAACTAATTAACTACGGCCATAAGTTAGCTAAGGTATATAGTTTCACTTTAAAACATAACAATTAATAGAGCAGCGTTTATATAGTTACTTAGGCTAGCAATTTATATTTTGCTATTTACATTGTCAACTAGCTTTTTTTCTTGTTATATTTTTTTAAATAGTATATTTTATGTACATTATGGAAAAATACTGGAAATAATAATTTATGCTGCCTACAAACTAAACAATTATCATATGTTGTTTTTAATATCGCTAATGGAAGCACGCGATCGTCGTTATGGCAATTTTCAGCTCTTGTCCTTTAACCCCTAATTATAGCTATTGTCTTATATTAAGCACTTAGTTTAAGAAAACAACAACTATGACAACATCATGCTCTTCCTACATCCTCATAAAACCGACTGTACATTGTGCTATGCAGTTTTATACAAAAGGAATTCAGTTGAAAAGCATGACAAAGTCTTTAGTCAGGTCTGGTGGTCTTAGGGCTTGTCATTTGCGATTTGGCCTGACTGCTGGTCCTTGGCCGCCGTTGCCAGTGGCACGCCCGCCTCCACGCTCTCCTCGTCAACAGGCTCGGGAGAGTCCCACCATTGTATATCAGTGCGTCCAAACACCACAAACAGCAGGTTGCCAATGAAGTAGAAGAAGGCGGCCACAAAGAACACCGTGCGCCATTCGCTCACATTTTCCTAGAATGGAAAATTCAATCAATTAGCCAAAAGTTGGGTTAGTCCTTGAAGCATTTTACTCACCGGATGCTTGACGATCTGACCCACCGCCAGTGGTGCCAAGCCGCTCATGACATTGGCCGCCGCATTCGTGATGCCCATCAAGGTGCCCGCATAGTTGGGCGACAGATCAATGTGGTTGACCTGGAAGCCCAAATAGGTGGCCGCGCTTATGCCCACCGTGAGGGTAAGCAGCACCACGGCCAAGGTGGCACTCTCGCGCGGCACATAGCCGAGTCCAATCAGGGACAGCATGGGTATCCAGTGGCCCACCGAGTTGAAGAACTTGCGATTGAATGAGAGCGATATGGACTTCTGGTTCTGCAGCACCTTGGACAGCCAGACGAAGAAGAAGCTGAGTATCATCATGACCGTGTAGGGCAGCGAGGAGAGCAGCGAGCTAGACTTGATATCAATGCCGTAGATGTTTTTCATGTAGCTGGGAATCTGCGTCAGCAGCGTCCAAAAGCCCCACATGTGCGTGCAGTGGACAACAAGCAGCGACAGGAACGGCATCGATGTGAAGATGCTGCCCCAGGGCGTGGGCGCCATTTTGCGGGCATCCTGCATTTTGCCCACCGAGCGTGACTCCTCAATATACTTGAGCTCCTCGCGTGTTATGCGAGTATGCTCCTCCGGCGTGCTCGCCGCGAATATCCACCAGAAGAGCACCCAGGCAAAGCCGCAGATGCCGCCGCAATAGAAGATGCCCGGCCAGCCAGCAAAGGAGTCCGCTATGAAACCGCTCGTGGCCAGCATCATGATGGTGCCGAACTGTGCGCCCGAGTAGCAAATGGTGGCCAGCATGCCGCGCTCACTGGCCGGCGCCCACTTGGACAGCAGCGAATGCGTCGCCGGATGCACGGCGCCCTGTGTGAGGCCCTCCAGCACGCGCACCACGCACAGCGCCTGCCAGCCGCCCAGCTTAAGGGACAGCGGCGTCAACAGCGTTAGAATCGCACAGGCCACCAGGCCCACCATCAGCAGCATCTTGGCGCCATAGCGCTGGGCGATGTAGCCGCCGGGCACCTGGGTGACGATATAGCCCCAGAAGAAGCTGCTCAGCATGTACGATTTCTCCGACTCCGTGAAGGGGTAATACTGCAGGGGGAGAGAGTGATGGGGTTAGGCGATTCATTCGACTGCTTGCCACATTTGGTGGCACTTACATCCATATCCAGTGTCTCCTCCTGGCTGTCATCCGTGACATTGGCCTCCGTTATGTTTGGCGGCTCGGTCATGGCCACCAGCGCCACGCTAAGATTAACGCGCCACGCATAGGCCAGGGAGAGGCAGAAGAAGCACAGGATGCATTGCACATGCCGCACGCCAATGATTTTATCTGCAATAGGGGCAACAGTTGAAATCCCAGGTCAATTAACAGTATTCAGGTAAGTCAAGACAAGTATAAGGTAATTTATTTTAATTGCAGGCTTAAGGTTTCTAACAACCTAACGAACCGAATCATTCTGCTTTGGGGTTAATTTTGTTTTGCAAATTATAATACAATTTTCTGAAAATATTGAAAAGACGCGTTCTATCAATGGGGCAAGTTATGCATATGATTGAGCATATATATGGCTATGGTTTTGGCCGGGAGAAACGTTTGTAGCGCTCTTATCAATGCCAAAAGCAAGGCGCTCTCTTTCGCTATCCATGTCGCTCTTTCTCTCTCTCTCGCTCCCTCTCTCGCTTGTATGTGGGGCGCGTTTATTTATAAAACACTGTGTCAAAATCTTGTTGTGGCCGCACACACAACCATACACACACACGCACACACACACACACACACACGCACACACACGCATACGCACTCGCAACGCCCACTCGTGAATGTGAATTACTCGCGAGACCTGCGCCTCAATGAAGTGCAACATCAGCAGACGGTGCTGTACCCAGAGCGAAAACCAGCTAACAGCTAACAGCAGCACACGCGACATGCCACAGCCACAACCAGAGCCAGGCCAGAGCCAGAGACAGAGCCAGAGCCACAGCCCTGCCCAGCCACCCCGCACGAGCTACCTGGAAGCGTGTCGCTCGCTCGCTCGGCCGCACGTGACGGCAGATCTGTTCTTGTGCGGACGCGGGCTGGGCGGGCACAGCTGTTGGCTTTGCGACACACGGGGAATTCTTTGAATGCTGGCCCGAACTCGATCGGGGCTTTATTTTTAGACGCGGACGCCGCCTTAAATGGACCCAGACTTAGTTCTGGCTGCAGCTGTTGGCAATAATTGTTGCACAACCAGCCAATTTGCAACCTTGCGCCGCGGCCTTACAAGGCACGGCCCGAGCGGGTCTATTGAACCGCTCGGCCGAAGCGTTTTCTCAGCTCAGCCCAGCTCAGCCCAGCCAATGCCAGTGGAAGGCGTTTGGTTTGAATTTCGTTATTAATAATTATTCGTTATTAATTTCACTCAATAATTAACAGTTGTTGCGATGACTCGACACGTTGAAGTGAACTTTGAGACTTTGGCAATTTGCAGAGTCAGCCACTCTCCCTCCCTCTCTTTCTCGCTTGATCTCGCTTTCTCTCTCGCTCTGCCACAGTGTCTCTCTCTCTCTGTTTATGGAGCTGATTCACGTTGCGGTGGAACTCTTTTTTATCTGACACGTTTTTCGAATCGTTTTTTTTGCGCAATCATTTTGTTGCTTCTTCTTGTTTTTGCTTTTAGACCCACTTTGGGTGCGCAGCCGCAGCCATTTGTGATGTGCTTTTTTTATCGCAATCTAAATGTTAATTTATACACTTTTGTTTAATAAAAGAGGGAGGGGGGGCCACAGAAATACAAGCAATTAAATTTGTGCTGTTCCATAAATGGAATCGCAACAAATTTCAAAAGCAATTTCATCAATAAACATTTATGTGCTGCTATGAAAGTGGATTTTTGATTGATTGCCAATCTGATACCCTAGAACTCTCCCATATGGGCTATATTTAGTTTCTGGCCTTGGTCATATGCGATAATTGGGTTGCCAAACGAAGGACATTAACGGTCTAACACTAACAAATCAACCACCCCTCCCACTCTCCACAGACGCACCTACCGCACCTTAACCAAGTGCAAATGTGCTGATAACCGATAACGTCTAAATAACTGTACCGCAATAACGAGCCCGATAAATTGGAGCAATAACAACAAGAAATCTTTGCTATATACACAAACACATACCTAAATATTTAGTATTTATATATATATAGTATGTCAGTCTATCAGATTAGATAATTGTTACGATTCACGACTCATCGAAGCCAGCAGGCCCTACATGCATGGCTAGCACTCGGGGCCTACGTGTAGACCCGCTTACAATGGGCGCTTCTGTTTGCCTTTGTCTCGTAATGCTCTTGGCTAAATATCAGCTGTAATTCATTTTATGATATTTGTTTTATTTTTTGTAGATCTCTCTCTCTCTCTCTTTCTTTCGCTCTGTACTCTCTCTCTCTCTCGCGCGATCTTTTACATCAGCGTCATTTGAGCATAGTCTAAGTACTTTCTACTTTTACTATATCTTCCGATCCTAATTCGAATTTTCAGTTTCATTGGCACTCGCTTATTTTCACAAAACGAAAATTAAATAACATAAAATAAAAGAAAGAAAAGAATAGCATAAATACTGCGTCGGATTTGGCTGGCTCTCGATAGCCCCCCCACCATCACCTCTCCCCTACTTTTATATTTGTTTATTTTTATCATTTTCTGTTGAGCGTGCTAAAAACTTATTTTGTCAGCCAAGTTGTATAAAATTCCACACTTTTTCTATATTATTACTCTCTGTTTTTGCTTCTCTTGACATTAGCTCGTTGAAGAAGTTGTGTCTAGAGTTTTGCATGGAAGAAATATTTTTGGAAGCGCAGTGGAGGTCGATGCATATTTTTATATAGTATATGCGAGCACGTACAAGCAATTACAATTATAACAAATATTAACGAGCTGAGAGATTTTTAAAAAATATAAAAAAAATTGTTGCAAACTTCGAACTCAATTAACGTTCGCTTCATTTGCCTTATAAGGCATTGAATTGAATTGTGATATATAGACTATAGCCTAAAGCTAGACACGCTATGCAAAAGCCGCAGCTGGAAGGGGGAGAGGGTATGGTTTCAGCTGTTTCCGGCAACACGTTGAGTTCTGACAATTGACAATTGCAGTCGGCCCGAGTCGGTCTTACATAAACACGCCAGACACGTGCACGTGGAGGCAATTGGCGAAGGCGCGATAAGAGCTATGCGAACTGCGCGGAGCTATATAGTGCTCCGATTTCGGATACATACCATTGGCGTATTTCCCAGTTTTCACCATATTCAAGGTGGTGGTCATGTGTGCGGCGCGGGCTAAATTCAGATGCACTCGAACTCTCTTTCTCTCGCACTCTAGCTGGCACTCGCTCCTTCTCTGTCAGACTGCTTGCTGGAGTTGCGGGCAGTGGAAATTTTTTGTTTATGTCGTTTTTGTGATTTTCATACAACGTGTTCCGACATTTAGCTGGTGGAGCACATGTGCACGACGCGGAGACACGTTGAGGTTGACAAAAAAAGTCTGGGGCTTCAGCTGTTGCTCGATTAAAAAATTATGCGATACCGATTTGACGTTTCGTTTCACAGATATTTCACGGATACGGATATTTGAGGTGCGAACACACGAGTTACTGCAGATACTCAGCTCTGCTCTGCTACAGATACAGAACAGCTACAGATACAGATACAGCTACAGATAGAGATACTTTTGGCCGTGCGGACTGTTTTACGCGTATCTTGCGGGTTTTGGTTTGTTCTAGCGAGCGATTGCGACTGCTTGAAATACTTGCCGCAGCGATTCTTTTATAAATATGATCGCTCGCTCGCTCGGCTGCCCGCTCGCCTGCACGTCGAGAGAGTTCGCTGGCGATGTCGACGTCGCAGTCGAAGTATCTGTCACTTTGTTGCTGTTGTTGTCGGCACACACATGTGTATCGCGTGAATTCCATTTCCATTTGGTTGTTGCTTTTGCTATCAGTAAAACCCGAACACGCTGCCAGGCAGGCAGGCAGGCAGGCGGGCCTGCTGTGTGTGTGTGTGTGTGTGTGTGTGTGTTGGTGTGTGCGAGTGTGAGTGTTGCCTGCTCTCTGCTCTCGAATTTGCCGGCCAATATGTAAACAACACTAACACAGCGACAACACCCAGCTATCAATCCCAAGTGGCTTGCACTCGACTGCCTCAGCCTCGCCCGCGCTCTCCTCTCTATCTCTCTTTCTCTCACTCTGCCTCGCGCCTTGTCCCTGTCTCTCTCTCTCTCTTACACTCTTTCTCTCTGGCAGCCTTTTGGGTTTTCTGCGTAATGGGTTTTTGTTTCTTCTTACAAATTGCAATAACAAAATTAGTCACATCCTATTTTGGCTCGCTCTCCTGCACCTAGTTACAGCTGGTATCCGTTAGATACTTTGCTTGAGCTTTCATTTTGCCTTGCTCCTGCTGATAAGCCTGAGCCGCTGTCGAGGTCAAGCCACAGTCGCTGATAAGCCACGCACATACTCAGTAATGGCATCTACTAGATTTCTCTCTCCCTCTCTCTCTCTCTCTCTCTCTGGGCTAGAAAAACAAACTACTTGTAATTGACATAACTTGAGCTTTGACAGCTGCTGTCGTCTAATGTTACAATCGCAGGAATACTATGGCCATCGAATTGCCTGAAGGAATCGCATACACGATCCATAACTCAGCTATTGGCAGGTCCATAGGCCCTGATGAATGCAATTCCATTCCAGAATTGACATCAATAGAGCCCTATATGGAACTTGGAGTCAACAGGAATTGCTGCCAAACTCGAGTCACTATTATCAATTATATTTTGTAGAACAGTAAATTATTTATGCTTATCAGAGAGACTTTGATTTGCAACAGAAAAATATAAAAATTAATAAGAAAAAAAACAGACGAAAACGAGCCATCTTTCCGCTTGCCCCTAGCCTAATTACTATCGCGGGCAAACTCATTCTGATTCCATTGAAGACAGCTATAAAGAACGCGCTCATTTTTAATATTAATCGGTACACGAGCATTTGTTTTTGGGTTTTTTTTTGCACAGAGTTCTGCAGCTGATAAGAATGTTTGGAGCAAAAAAAAATATAATCGACACGTTTTTTTGGCACGTTCGCCTTGATTGCGGCTGTTTTATCATTTAATGTGCCTTTAAATATGAGTGGATTTTCAGCGGGATTTAGTGGCTCTTAATTGGATTATCATTACAGCCAAAGGCGTAGGCCCAGAAAGAGAGACAGAGACACTGGCAGAGGCAGAGGCAGAGGCAGTCGCCCACTCCATAAACCCCTTATCAGAGATCTTATGTAAAGAATTAACTGTCAGCCGAAAAGGGACACGTTCCGTGAATGATTTCTGGAGAAAAACAATGTTAAATATAGTCGCCATCGATCGCATCGAGTGGCATCCAGTTGAGTTCTATTGAGTCAAGTGCTTCAATCTGTCATTTGTGTGGTAGGGACAAAGTTGTCGGCTCGTCTGTTAATGGGTCTGACTGACGGCCGGTTGGCCCAATCAATCTAATCGTGTCGATCTTATCGTTCCATTGACTGCTCCTCGGATGCGTCATGCCCACCGCACAGCCCCCAGAAGCCGGCCCAAATTGCTGTAGCGAATTAATGAATCTGCGCGCTGTGCACTAACAAAAAACGCTTATCAAAGCGCGACATTTGACAAATGGCAAACAGCGCGTCGCTCGTCAGCAGCGGGCTTGACGTCAGGCGGGCGGATGTGGGACGCACGCCTGGGAGGAGGCAGGGCCTTCCTTTAGGCAGCAGCAACTGCAGCTCTTGGCGTTGCACAAATTTGCACTGGGCCACACCCGTCGTCGCAGCAATTAAAATGCTGCTTGTTAGCCCGACTTTGATATGGAAATTTGCACTGTTTAAGAATAGATACAAAGTGCCTAGCTACAGATACAGATACAGATACAGATACAGCTACTGAGACTGATACCCCCAGCTAGTGGAATTTTTTGCATACGTCGCCAATTGAAGGGCGATAATGATAACCAACAGCAGCCAACACACTTGGGATAAATTGCGCATACGCCGCGTGTAACAAAGCTAACAGCCTAGCCAAACAAGAGTTGATAAGAAGAAGAATAGAAGAATTTATCTTCGGCACACCGAAGATGCAATACCCTTGAAGATATGTAACTTGGCGATGATTTTATACTTTATTTTGATTTCGATTATTATATAGTATAGTAGTTCGATTTGATGCGAATTACTAGAAGAGTGAACATCGTAATTTCTAAGTTTGGTCTATATTTCTTCCTCTTTCTATGGAACTATATGAAATAGTCTTCCGGAATTTATATGATGTAACTCACATATAAAGAAACTAGCATATTTCATTTTTGTCCAAGAAGTCCTGAACAAAATATTCAACAAAAGTCTCATGAACAAAAACTTATTTTTTAACCTATTATTATTACAGCTAGATGTTATAGTAATACGATTTTATTAGGTTTTGCAAATATAAAAGAAGCTTTATGAATGAAATAATATAAGCAATTTCTTCTTTTAAGAACTTAGCTTTCGAGCGATGGCGCTTCTAAGAAAAGTCTGGCGGACTCAGACATATGAACAGCTTGAAATAGAAATATAAATTTAGTTTTAAAACTGAGAGACTAGTTGAGGAGTCGTCTGCTGATACTAATCAAGAATATATATGCCTTCTAAGGTCGGATATGTGTCCTTCTACACACATTACAGATTTGATGACAAAATTTGTATGCCCTTAATAAGGGTATATAAATACTACAGTGACAGCACCATGGAATTAACATGTCAAGTTCAGTCCGGAGTGCAGCAGGTGTTTTTCCATTCAGTTGTTAACATGGCCTACAGAGTGCCCAGCCCCCAAATGTATATAGAAGAAGCCAAACTGATGGGAACTGTGCCGCCAGTTAGATGCGTTCTGTCAACTTGTTGAACAATGCCTTAAAGGTTCATGTCAACAATTTACGCTGAATTATTTGCAAGAAACTTAGCGTCAATTTCTATTGCATATATTTGCCAATCTATCGCTCGGGGCTTGCCCAGGCCAACATCTATCTGTCGGGCCTAATTGAATTGTATGCAATCAATTGATATAGCTCAATTGACATGAATTAGCGTTCACAATGGCGCATGGAAACTTTTCGCTAAACTTAGCTGGCCCTGCAACGCATATAAGCCCTGGATGCCAGCAGGTGCTAACCTGGTCACAAATGCCGCGACGCGCCCAATTAGTTGCCACCCCATTGATGGACACTTTGCGTTATTTGATTTGTGTCTCGTCGTCGTCCATCGTTGCCCTGGGCCGGGCTGGCAGCTTGTCAAAGACGCGTATTTATTTTGTTTCTTTTTTTCCGCAATTGCAAATGAAAATCATTTTAATTGCCAATGCAGCTGATAGCGCCTCGCGTCTTATCCTCTCACTGTTTTCCAATGCCCGCAACCCCACCCACCCCATCCCACTCGTTGGCCTCCCCATCGCGACATCCTCAGCTGTGTGGGCGTGAGTGCCTGACGGCTCACGCGGCACGTAGTTGCTTTAAATAGAACTTTTCATTTTAACAGCTCGTGCGGCCACTTGATTTTTCACATTCATTACTCTAACAATGGGCATAACAATATTTCACTCAATTGGCAATGAAAATTGGTTAATTAACTCATAAAACTAAATCAATTGCAATTGACTTCCATTGAAACATACCTTCTCGAACATTCTATAAACTATCTAAATATATTGCTAGATTTTGACAGAAAAGAGTATCATATCATAAATGTAGCTGCCATAGGAACAATCCGTCAAAAATATTGTTTCTTTCTTTTATCCAAAACTTTGTTATTTTTCAAGATTGACCATTCGTGTTATTTACTATCGTATCTTCGGATACTATCGGATACTATCTGTAAGATTTTCACTCTGGCTTGTTTATATAGATAATAAAAATATAGGTGAACGAAAATGATATTAATATTTATTTCATTAAAATAACTCAATTGGAAAAGCACAGATCAACATATTTAAAAAGGAGTATGAGTTTATATTGATATATATTTCATATTCTTGAACACAGTCATTTTCTTCTACTTAAGAACTGTTTCTATTTCTACACATAATGCTAACTCATTAAAATTTAAATGACGTTGTTCCATAATATTAATTGTAGTGTATATTTTCTTCGGCTAAGTGCCACCCCCGTCAGGCGTCTCTTCGAAATTGGGTTTTCTTTAAAAATGTGCCGTGATGTGATCCCAGCTAGCGTAAAAACAATAAAAATATGCGATTTGGCCAGACAAAAGTGCTAAAAGCAAACAAAATGAGTAGCATATATATTTAATTGCTCGTGATCTTGGATAGGGAACTTTAACTGTATCTGTACTTCCGCCACCTTTGATCGAAAAGCGAGTCCAACATGAATCCACGGCGGGTACTTAGTCACTCGGCAAATTCCATGATTAGATGCCGCTGCTGCAGTCTTATCTCAGACCCAGACCGCCAATTATGACAGTAATTCGGGGTATATATAAATCTTATCATTGCGAGTTGGTCCGTGTGGACCTGAAGGGGTACTGCGACAGCCACGCAGCTGATTTATCACTGTGACATCATGCGACACGGCACCAACTGAAAGAGCCAAGACGAACACAGTAATATAGTTTTAAAAAAAAAAACGTTTATTTGCATAATATATTCGTTGTATTTGCCCAGTTATATGAACAAAAATATATTTATAAACTTTGTTTTGTCACAAGGCAACTTAATTCATAAAAATAAAAGCAGGCAGCATGACGGCGCACAAAATGATAAAACCAAAAAAAAGGCAGTAATTGTTGTTGCTATTGTTTTCTAGTACATATTTGCCTTTTGTTGTGAAATGGCTGGGTATTAGCGAATTCATTATCAGAGAGATTTGCAAAAAATACTAAATGTTTAATAAGTTTTGTTGAAAACAGCGCAGCAAGAAAAACAGCATTGATATTTGCAAAATAATTAGCGATAACCTTAACGACAAAGCGAGAGAGATGCAGAGAGCGCGCGCAGGAAGAAAACGCAAAGAGCTTGTGAGTGAGAGAGCGCGAACGGGAGAGCTTGTCAAAGTCAAAATGCGCCAACACTTTGCCGGCAGCAACAACAACTGCTTTGGCGCCGCGCAGTGTTAATTTGTTGCCATTTTTATGCACATGCATACACACATTTGCATTCGCATACACACACAGGCACGCACACAAACATACATGGACGTTCAATACACTCCCACAGGCGCGGCGTAACCACTCTCCCGCGCTCACTTTTTACTTTCTGCACGTGTGTGTGTGCGAGCGCGCTAAAAATTCGCGCTCTCTCTGTCTGATCTTTGATCACGTTTCTCACACGTTCGGCTCGGCACACAGCCGACGACTTCCACGTTCACGTGATGCGCAAGTGTACAATGGCAATCGGCTCTCGGCCGACGCTGGCGCTGACGTTGACGCTGACAGTGGCGCTCCCTCTCGCTCTGCCACTGCGCCCCTTCACCCAGCACCAACCGCACACGAGAGCTCTGTGTTGTTGTTGCATTTGGTGCTCTTTGCTCGCTTGGCAAAATGATTTGCAAAATTCGATCTTGGAATAAAGTACAACGCCTTCGGAATGACGTAAACATAAGCCTGGCACCGAAATAAACGAAAACTGAGAGATTAAAACTAAAAATATCGAGTTCGAGCGAGAGAGAACGAGAGACAGGGGCCCCATATCGGATCGCGATTTCACCACCGACGATGGCGCCCATAAACCTTGATTCATGCCGAGTAGGCAGACAATAAAGTGAGTACTTCAGATTCAGATACCGCTCCATATTGGCCCATTGTTGGGCTCCATCCCCGCTCTATCCGCTACCTGTTAAACTACAAGCCCCAAGAACTCGATTCTATGGTAGCTACTGAAATGATGGCGCTCGTGGCTTCAGCTGATATGACAAGTGCCATATTATTTGCACTGTGATGTTGATAGCATCTCGCGCTTCGTCGCGCCGCGCTTAGTTGACGGGAAATCGTATAAATAAATAACAGCGTTAAAATTCGTATTTAATGGTTTTCATTATCTTTTAATTTTGGGATTTTTGTTCTTGGACCCTGCAACAAAGGCCTGCTCGCGCCTCACGCTATCTGTTCGTTTGCCGTTCCATATTTCATCTTCTTAACACGTGCGCCTGCCCAAGTGGAAACAACCCAAATGCAAACCTGTTCCAAAATTCTTGGGAACAGTTCCTTAGGAACAGTCATTGCCTATTAATTATAATTATGTATGTACTAAACCACATTTAAAGAGCTCAGCGCTTTTCTGCCTTAAGACCCTAATTTAATAAGTGCACCGCTTAAATATATGTATATTTTCTAATAGTAGCTTCGCCCCATGGAAGTATTTCGTAATCGCAATCGTCGTATCAAATATGCAAATAAACATGTGCTTACGTATGTGTCTGTGTTAACATACGGTCCATATCGCGTGCGTGTATTCAAATTCTGCTTATCAACAGGTTCGCCTCACACGATCACGACCGCAACTTCCACATTTGCCATGCGGGCAATTTCGTTGCCATAAAGTGTGCACAAACATTTGCTACCAAAGGCGTGTAGAGAGGGGGATTTATTGCCCACAGTCCCCAAAAATGTCAAAAGTATAAAATTATTCCAGTCGTAGTGCCAGAAACTTAATGTATGTATACATACAAAAAAAGATTGTGCAACAATGCGGCAACCATAATTATTATTTCCATTTAAAAATGATTGAACTGTTATATCTTTAATTCCTTAAATTCGAAATATAATATATATAATATAATTAGCACTAGCAAATTAAAAAATTCTTGTCTTTTTATATATCTCAATACATTATAATCGTAAAATCCTCACGCCTTATTCAGCAAATGATATATTTATTTCAGAAAACTTCTTTCTTTCCATATATCTCCATTTAACTACTCTGAAATAACTCTCGCCCTATTTTTAAATTTTTTAGCTTTATTTTAATTGTCCTGTTATTATAAAAACAACTTAAATTGAATTTATTAGAAAATACTACTTAGTCCACTAATATATATCGATCTGGGAGATCGATTGGACGAGACCTCCGCAATCTCTTCCGCGTTCGGACTCCTCCAATTCGACGCCTTTTTAGAAGGCGCCTAGCCAGTCGATTTGGATGGTTTCCCAGTCGCGTTATGTCGTTTGCAGTCTGTTTGTTTATGACGTCACCGACTTTGGGCACTCTAGGCCTTTTTCCAAATCGGAAGTTCGCATATACCAGGGGGCACCAGACAGATAGCGGAGCGTTTTTGCTTGAAACACCCTGTTTTTCTTAAGGCGGGATTTTGCAGCAATACCGTAAACTTGAATACCATATCGCCAGGCATCGTTTTGCTTAAACTTGAAATTTGCGTGCCCAATCTGCCCGATATCGGGCTTTTTTGGCCGAGAAATAGCCATTTATAGCCGTTTGTAGCGGTTTTTAGCAGAATTTTAGTAGTACTGCATACTTTCGTGCTGTCTGCATAATACGTTTTCCATAAGAACTAACCGTAACTAATCGTAAATCAACCTAGCGGAATTTTGAGAAACTGTTTCTGATTTTTACTATAGTATACTTTTGGACGAGTTTTGTATTAAGCAAAATTAAAATTTATTAAAAAATTAACAAAAACAAAAAAAAACAAAAAACGTGGTATGCCAGTCGATTACAGAGATCAGTACGAGTTCAAAAAGGTATAACTTTCCAAAATCGGACCATTTTTAGCCGAATTATCGCAAAAAAACGAAAAATCTTCAAAATTATAACGGCATTTTTTCGCGTTTTTCAAATGGCTGTATCTCGGCCAAATAAGCCCCGATCTTGGAAAGATTGGTCTCGTTCGACTCGTGGTCACAGCCTTTTTCAGCCAACATCAAAATTTTTGCAAAAAACATAGTAGTTTTTCTCAAATTGGGCCATTTCTTAGAATTCAGATTTGTTGGTGTCAGTCGATAGTCGGGATCCGTACGAGAAAAAAGAGGTATATCATTTCGAAATCGGACATATGGTACCCGAGATATTTCAATTTTAATTTTAATTTCAAAAATGAGTCGAAACGTATTATGCACGACAGCACGAAAGTATGCAGTTCTACTAAAATTCTGCTAAAAACCGCTACAAACGACTATAAATGGCTATTTCTCGGCCAAAAAAATGCCGATCGGGGCGAATGTTGTTTTGGAATGGCGATATCTCGGCTAAATAAAGCCCGATTTCGGAGCGATATACATATATATATATATATATTCCTCTTTCTACTCGTACGGATGCCGACTATGATTGCCACACTCTTTTAGTCCCCGAGCTAAAAATAATATCTCCAATCGATACCTAGCTACTACCTAGATACTAATAAAATATAATAATAAAAATTCCTTAAATAAGTCGATATTTTTTGTATTTATATAATTTCTTGCTATTCAGTTATATTTCACACACATAATGTTATAATTAAGACATAATGTACTCATCTTTAAACGATAAGCTAATATATTATTATCCATACAAATTCAAATACTGTGGGCTGATCTCTAATATTCTTAAGCCTTCTATTTCTCAATTCCATTCTGCGCTTCCAACTCAGGAGTTGAGTTGCTAAGCTGTTTGGCGGGTGGCTCGTTCCAAGGCTGAACACTGGTACGACCAAAGATCAGGAAGATCCCGTTGCCCGCCAAGTAGATGCCAGCTGCCACAAAGAACACTATGCGCCATTGATTTGCGTCGTACTGTAACAAAGGGAGAATTATCACAAACCTTTCAAATAGGAAGATCTCAAAATATGACCCACCTTGTCGGTAACAACGATGCCCACTAGGAGTGGAGCAGCGAGACTCATGAAATTGGCGATGCCATTGCAGATGCCCATTAGGATGCCCGCAAAATTGGGCGACAGATCAATGTGATTTATCAGGAAGCCCACGTGGCTGGCGGAGCTTATGCCTACGGTTAGGGTGAGCAGCACCACGGCCAGGGTGTCCATATGCTGCGGCACATAGCCGAGCGCAATGAGCAGGCACATGGGACCCCAAGTGCCAATTGAGTTAAAGAACTTCCGGTTGAACGAGCGCGAAATCGAATCCTTCCTCTGCATAAGCTTCGATAGCCAGGCAAAGAGGAAGCTGAGAATAAGCATGGCGGTGTAGGGCAGCGCAGAGAGAACTGCATTGGCTTTGATATCCTTTCCCAGGATGTTCTTCATGTAACTGGGAATCTGCGTCAGCAAGGTCCAAAAACCATACGCATAGGCAGATTGCACGGCAACGAGCGCCAGGACGGCAGGTGAGCGGAAGAAACTCAGCCAGGGCGTGGTCTGGTGATGGCTGGGCAGCTCCGCATGAGCACTTCGCTCACTGGCCTGTCCCAGCTCTATAAGCTCTCGCTCCTCGGCGGATAGGCTCTTGGAATCTGCCGGTGAGCTGGCACCCCAAAGAAAATAGACGGCTGACCAAATGCAGCCCACGGACCCGGATGCATAGAAGATGCTGGGCCAACCGCCAATGGAGGCCAGTAGGCCACTGGTGGCCAACATTATGATGGTGCCAAACTGATTGCCTGCATAGGTAAAGTTGCCCAAAGATGCGCGCTCCTTGGGTGGCACCCAAGCGGAAATAACCGTATGGGTGGAGGGAAAGAGCAATCCTTGGCAAACGCCCTCGAGCAAACGCACCGCGCAGAGCAGCTGCCAGCCTCCCAGCCTGGCGCAGAGTGGCGTTAGAATAGTCAGCACGGAGCAGATGGACAAGCCGGTTAGAATTGTAACCTTGCCGCCAAACCTACGTGCCAGAGGACCAGCTGGCACCTGGGTGATCACATAGCCCCAAAAGAAACTGCTCAGCACCAGAGATTTTGTCTTCTCCGACCAGTTGTATTCCTAAAGGGGAAGATGATATAAACGTAAGTTGGAGCAATATTTAATCAACATAAGCTTTTACTTACGGGAAACTCGGCCATGGCCACAACTGCTACGGACAGGTTAACCCGCATGGCGAAGCCCACGGTAAGAGCGCAGAAGAGCAGAAAGATTTGCAAGTGACGTATTCCAAATCCAGAAGCTGTGGCAATAAAAAAAGAAAAACAATTCATCCAGGTGTGCTATAAAAAGATATGCTAATGCAGCGCTTCATTTCTTATGCTGAGCTGCTCAAAATGATTTGTGGACTTCCAAGTTAGATAAGCTTCAGTTTTTTTACATTGACCCACTTCTATATGGGCCTAACTTATCTCGAACTTGAAGCCACTTGACAGAGTGATGATTTATTTTTGAATGCGACGCATTCGAATGAATTTATTCAATTGACTTAAAGGATGATTTCGGTTTAAGTTTGTGTTAATTGTGTTAATAATATTTGAATTATTGTGAATCTTTGTTTAAACGAAAATGATTTTTTATTATTATTATATATATTTTATATTGTATTGTATTATTATTATTTTCAGTGAACTTACGTAAATCACTTTTTTCTAAAGAATATTATAGTGAATTTTTAATATAAACGAAAATATTTTATTATTTTTATTTTTGTTGTTATTATTTTAATAATAATAATAACAATAATGTAAATAATAATAAAATAATATTATTATAATAAAATTAAAAACATTGAAAATAGTAACGATAATAATAACAATAATAAAATGTAATATAACTATTAATTTTATGTATGTAAGACATGATTTTTATTTATAATTTATTAATGGTCAACAAAATCCTAAATTCCTAATCAGAATAGAAAATTTTCTAATATTATCAGCGACACGATGGGGGTATTTTATTTGCGAACGAAGACAACCAATCATACATTCATACTCTGGCCAGGTATTCCAACCCGGATGCTCATTGTTCAAGCGAGCCTTCTTGCCTTTTTGCTAAAGATACATTCACAAAGAAACAACATTTTAATCCTGTGTTTCAAAATCCTTATCTATCTACTGATTTATCCATAAATATGAAGATATATGATCTATATATAATCCGCGGCGTGGGCTACCTACATTCATTTTCGAAACGGCGATTCTTCACCATTTTGTTGCTGCTTTTGCCTGCCACTTGGTCCTTTTTATGTTGAGTCTTCTGTGCGTTGCATTACCGCACTCCACGAGATATTTTCACTAACTAGCTGCTGGCTTAACGGATGGAGCATATTACGAGTTCTTCTGTACAACAAATGCTGACAGCTTCTGTGTTTATAATTGTATAAATCGCGTGCCGTCGGCACGACTAAAGTAAATATGCTTATTTGTTCTCTGATAAGATAACACTCGGCTTTCAAAATTTTCATAGAAGTACCCACCAAATATTATGGTGATGCGATGACAAGGCGAATATTCTCTAGAGGACAAGTTCCTTTTATGAACTGACTTTTTATAGCCAAAACACAACTGGTAAAAAGGGCATATTAGTTTTCTGCAAATGCATTTTAATAGCAATACTCTTGATCAGGGTGAAAAGCTGAATCAAGTTTGTCTGTCCGTCTATTTGAACAGCTAGACTTCAAATTTTATATACACATATTCTCGTATATTTTACATATCACAGATGTACACAATTTTAATATCTTTCGTTAATTCCAAAATATGTATAAATATATATTTTAAAACAGGAATTTTACACGCTTCAGAAGAAACTTATATAAGCTAGATACGCAAAATGTGTGTATAGTAATTTTTATTTGTATATATGTATATATATGTTCCGCCGTGTGTGAATGCTGGAAATGGTTGAGGGTATCTCCCAGTCGGGTAGCTTACATAAATCTAGATAAAGATCTATAAATAGTAACCATAGCAAAATAATATCTGAGAAATCAAGTAAAAGAATAAAATACATTTGTAACAATGTGCAAACTTTGGAAAAACTGGAAAGCGGCTAGAGAGCTTAAGATAAGAAAGAATTTAGTTGCTCATAATAGTGTTTTTATTGTTCCTTAAGCCAAAAAGGTATATGTACATACTTAATACGAACTATAGCTACGCCATGAGCTACAGTAAAAACTTTGCTGGATTAATCCATGATTTGTACGGTTAAAATTAAAATAATTATACGATATTTACGGGTCTAGATGCAGCCTAACAACTGTTGTGTATACTCTACCCGAATAATTAACATCATTTATCACAGCTTTCCGATTTTTGCGATTCCATCTCTGGTATGGAGATATGATCGGCCTTAGCGGGAGGATCGTTCCATGGCTGTACATCCGCGCGCCCGAATAGGACAAAGACGCCGTTGCCCACCAGGTAAATAGCAGCGGCAACAAAGAACACAAGACGCCACTGTTCCACATCATGCTGCAAATAGAGATGGAGAGAAATTACCTATGAGACAACATGTCAATAGATCTCCAAGAGAAACCTACCTTATTGGTAACGATAACGCCGACTAAGAGCGGTGCGCTAAGACTCATTATACTGGCCAATCCGTTACTGATGCCCATCAAAGTACCAGCAAAGTTGGGCGACAGATCGATGTGGTTCACCTGGAAGCCGAGATGGCATGCGGCATTGATGCCTACGGTGAGCGTGAGCAGCACTACGGCCAGAGAGTCCTGCTCCTTGGGCACATAGCCCAGTGCAACAAGCAGGCACATCGGAATATATTGGCCAATCGTATTAAAGAACTTTCGGTTGAAGGAGAGCGACAGAGATTCATTCTTCTCCATAAACTTGGACACCCACACAAAGAGGAAGCTCAGCACAAGATTTGCAATGTAGGGCAGTGAGGAGAGCAGCGCGTTTGATTTGATATCCTTGCCCAAAACATTATTCATGTAGCTGGGTATCTGCGTCAGCAAGGTCCAGTAACCCCAGGCGGAGGCGCTGTGCACAACGGTGAGGGCCAGGAATGGTCCCGAGGCAAAGATGCTCAGCCAGGGCGTGGATTGTCGATTGCTGGGCTGCTGCGAGTTGACTGGCTTCTCACTGGCCTGTGCCAGCTCAATCAACTTGAATTCCTCCGGAGAGATGCTCTTGGAATCCTTTGGCGAGCTTGCACCCCAAATATAGTAGACCACCACCCACAGAAAGCCACAGGCGCCAGAGACGTAGAAGATGCTCGGCCAGCCAGCAGCAGAGGAGGCGAGCAGCCCACTCGTGGCCAGCATAAGGATTGTACCGAATTGACCGCCAGTATAGGCACAAGTCGCCAAGGAGCCTCGCTCTCTAGGCGGTATCCATGCAGAGATTATCGTATGACAAGACGGGAAGAAAACTCCCTGGCACAAGCCTTCGATCAGGCGTAGTCCGCAGAGCAGCGACCAGCCACCTAGGCTGGCGCAGAGTGGAGTCAACAAATTGAGCACCGAGCAGATCGAAACGCCGGTCAACAGCGTTACCTTGCCTCCAAACCTGCGGGCCAAGGTGCCGGCGGGCACCTGGGTGGCCACGTAGCCCCAGAAGAAACTGCTTAATACCCATGATTTTGTCTTCTCCGACAACGGGTATTCCTAAATCAATAATCATTAGTTATATCAGATTCCATTTACGATCGTATTAACTTACCGGGAAGTTGGGATTGATCGAGGCGGCATCGGTCATGGCCACAACAGCTACGGATAGATTAACCCGCATGGCAAAACCAACTGTTAGACCGCAGAATAGTAGAAATATCTGCCAGTGACGCACGCCAAGTCCAAGACCTATGGAATTAAAGAAAACTCAACTTATTCCAATGTTATTCCTATGGAAAATTTTAGGGTGTTTCGTCTGGGATTGAGCTTTAAGACACATAATGCGTTATACTGCAAATACAGCTATCTGCAGAGATAAGGTCCGTAAATCAAAAATGAATTACCCTTATGCTTTGCTAAGGTATTGTAAAAACTTGACTGGCTTTCCATTTACGAAAGGAAGCTGGTGAAGGTCAAAAGAGGACAGAATGCCAAAATAAACGATTATTATGCATTTAAAATAGATCAGCAGACGTTCTTAAACTAAGGGAAATAATGACAGAGTCTGCATCAGTAATATTCAGTATCCATATTTTTAATAACCAACTTGGATATCCTTTAAGGCTTAACTGCTGATATTAAATGCCTACCTTCATCTTCGAAGCGACGATTCTTTACTATGCTGATGTTGCCTGCCATTGTCTTTTGATAAGAGTTCGGTAAGGTGCATTACCACAGACCACGAAATCTTTTCGCTAACTAACTAATTCTTATTTGGCTCAGCAGCTTATAAGTGCTTCATCCGAAAATTATGATCGCCTTGCATTAGACGAGCTGCTACACTAATTATCTAGGTGGAAGAGGGGAAGCACGACTTAAGTAAATATTTTCACAATCTGATAAGATAACAATGGGGTGTGAGTAAAACTGGTAGATGCATACAGTATTAAAGTATTTGACAAATATCAACCAGAGAAAATATGTAAGGCGCTTCTGTATAAATGAGTTGTCATTTGATAATTATGCTTGGAGGCTATCGCTAATTTATGGTCATGAAGATTGCCTCAAGTTGATTGACAATATCGTAAATACGTTAAGCCCACTTCCTTTCTGGGCATGCCTTGAACCAGCTTACTGGCACTGACAAAGTTTCTTTAAAATTACTGGACATTATCGAAAGTCTGGAAAAACCACTTCCTCGCTTGCCTTGAAACAAAATAGTTGTACATTGTTTTAAGTAAGATAGACGTGATAGATAAGATAGCCGAATTTAAATAAATTCCCAATATCTAAATTGGATCTTTATTAAAGTAAACAACAAGATCTTATCTATTTAACAAAAACTAAGCCTAAAGGCCGGATGACTAACAGTCTCTCTCTGCAATCTTCTGTGACTCCAACTGTGGCGTAGAGCTGCGACGCACCTTTGCTGTAGGATCGTTCCACTCCTGGATATCCGCACGTCCAAAGATTAAGAAGAGACCATTGCCCACCAAATAGAAACCAGCGGCAATGAAGAAAACAATGCGCCACTGGCTGGCATCGTGCTGTCGAGGAAAGGAGAGAAGAAAAATTATACAACAGTCGAAAATCCTACGAGAAGCTACAGACAACCCACCTCATTGGTAACAATAACGCCCACTAGCAGTGGCCCAATGATGCTCATAACATTAGCAATTCCATTACTAATGCCCATTAGAACGCCGGCAAAATTCGGGGAGAGATCAATATGATTTATAACAAAGCCCAGCTGAGCACCCGAGCTAATGCCAACAGTGAGTGAGAGCAGGAGCACAGCAAGGGTATCTTGCTCCTGCTTCACATAGCCCAGGGCAACAAGCAGGAACATTGGAATGAATTGGCCAATTGTGTTGAAGAACTTCCGGCTAAAGACCAGGGAAACTGACTTTCTCTGCAAAACCTTTGAGAGCCAGACAAAGAACCAGCTGAGCAGCAGCATCACGGTATAAGGAAGGGAGGAGAGCAGCGCATTAGCCTTGATATCCTTGCCGAGAACGTTCTTCATGTAGCTCGGGATCTGTGTCAGCAGCGTCCAAAAGCCCCAGGTTGAAGCGCAATGCGCAGCTGTCAGCGCCAGGAATGCCGGCGATGTGAAGAAGCTCATCCAAGGCGTGGGCAGGCTCTCCTTGGGCTGCTCTGGCTTAGTGTCCACCTCTTTAGCCTGCGCCATCTCAATCAGCTGCTTCTCTTCATCTGAGATATTCTTTGAAGCGCCTGGCGAGCTGGCTCCTCTCAGGTAGTAACCCACTACCCAGACACAACCCACACCACCGGATATGTAAAAGATACTGGGCCAGCCAGCCATGGAAGCCAGCATGCCGCTGGTGGCCAGCATTACAATAGTTCCAAACTGTGCCCCCATATAGGCATAGGTGCCCAGCGAGGCTCGTTCAGATGGCTGCACCCAGGACGAAATCAAGGTATGGTAAGATGGGTAAAGCACACCTTGGCATATGCCCTCAAGCAAACGCACGCCACAAAGCACCTGCCAGCCTCCAAGCCTGGCACAGAGCGGTGTCAAAACATTCAGCACGGAGCAGATGGACAAACCTGAGACGATCGTTGGCTTGGCGCCAAACTTGCGTGCCAGAAGACCAGCAGGCACCTGGGTCATCACATAGCCCCAGAAGAAGCTGCTCAGCACCAGAGACTTCGTTTGTTCGGTCCAGTGGTATTCCTAAATGGGCAGAGGTTAAAGAGATCAATTG